GTTTCCGAGGCAGTATCACTACGGAAGTAGGATTGCCCAACCTTCCTTCCGAGGAGTGGCTGGTGGGTTTGAACCGCCAGCCCTCTGGTTAGCAGTTTCACTCTAGTAGTGGTGTGTTTATGATGAACAGAATTTTAATGATGTGTAATTTATCAATAGGAGCTCTGTTGGCGTAGTGCCTAAAGTACTTATTTTCCTTTATAATTATATTCTTTTTAACAAATAGGTACCAATCTCAAGGTCATGAATATATTTCCCCATGTATCCTCTAGAAGCTGCTTTGAAATCACATATTATTGGAGAAGGGTTGTTATGTGCCCTCAAAGCTGTTACAACGTGCTCTTTTCAAGTCATTCAAATGCATTATTCTAACTTTCCAGCAGATAGCGGTATTGCTATATAAAAGAACATGCCAAAAACAATTTACTACTTCTGTTTCCAAAAGTTATTTTTACAAGTTCTTTTCTTTTCCCTCAGATTTATATCTATTGAATAAGAAAGTGTACAGTGACATAAGCTTCGTTATAAACATACACACATATTTATTTCGTTCTTATATATATAAATGAACAAATCTGTCTTGGAGCAAGTACAGCCAAATGCTCCTTAGTAGAGAGAACGCCCAGACTTCTCTCTTGTGTTTTGGTCATGTTGTCAGAAGGGAACAGACCCTGGAGAAAGATATCATGCTTGGTAGAGGGTCAGCAGCAAAAGGGGAAGACCTTCAATAAGATAGGTTGACACAGGGGCAGCACTGATGGGTTCAAGTATAGCAAGGATTGTGAGGAAGGTGCAGTACCACGCAGTGCTTTGTTCTATTGTACGTAAGGTTGCTATGAGTCAGAACTGACTTGACAGCACCTACCAGCCATAACAACTTATGTGTATGTATTCTTCTCTGTAAAATAAAGTCTGGGTACTTCCTAAATCTTTTTTAGCTCTAAAATGTTAACATTCTTTTTCCTATTTTTAACTACTTATTTTTTCCAGAAAAATGGGAGATTGATCCATCCGAATTGATTTTTGTAAAGGAGATTGGAAGCGGTCAGTTTGGGGTGGTCCATTTAGGTCAATGGCGAGCACATATTCAGGTAGCAATCAAGGCCATCAATGAAGGCTCCATGTCTGAAGAAGATTTCATTGAAGAGGCTAAAGTGATGATGTAAGTATAAATGACATCCAGATAAATATTACACATCATCCTAGTTACACAGAAAGAGCATGGACCTTGGAGTCACTTTTGAGTCAATCACACCTTAATTTGTGTCACAACTGTACCTAAGCTGGTTGTGTGACTTGGGCAAATTATTTAACCTTTGTGTGACCAGGATGAGTTACTTCACCTTTCCAAGCCTCAATTTCCACATTTGTAAAATGGGGATGTACAATACCTACCTTATGAGGTAAATGTAAGAATGAAATAAGATAATCTATGAAAGTGTCAGGCATGCATTTTATTTTTTCCCTGCTCAATAATATGTGCTCTTTTTTTCATCTTCTCAGAGTAAAAATATTGGTGGAGTCTAGATAGAAATATACTACTCATCTTTTGAGAGGGCATCCCCCTGTTCTAAAAATGTTACTGCTTTTGTAAGGACAAAGTATTTGCTTTCAGAGAATTTATGAGCCCAGAGATTTCAAAGAATTGGTTTCAGATCTACCTTTTTTTGTAGATCCGAGGACTCTGCTCTTAATGCCTGTGATTTCCAAGGAGGCTTTCTGACTCTGATGAACTGTGGTTTACATCTCTATCTGGGACTGGTCTGAGACAAATTAGTGCCCAGAGCACCCAATAATTTCAAATCAACATTTTAAAAACATTTGTTTAACATTTATTTAGAAGATCAGCTATGTGGTGGAGAAGGAAAACTCCAGATGGCATTACCTAGATAGTTCTGTCCCAAACTGCAGACCCAAATTATTATAAGTAATGATAATAATAACAGAAGTGAGGAACAGACCCATTCTCCTTTGAAGGCAGAGCAATGATGTGTCTTGGGTCTCTCAACTCATACCACAAGTATCAAAATATCTTTTCCACCCACTTACAATGGAAGAAATTCTGAGAGACATTATGGTAAACAATTTACCAGTGACATCAACTTCCCTATGATGTTTTCATGTCCCTAAGTACCCCAGGCACCTCTCTCTAGCCAATGCACCCTGATATTATCTGTGTCCAGCATTTTTTTTTTTTTTTTTTACAAATTCTAAAGGACAGACAGGAATTATTTTCCTGTATGTTGAATTGAATAGGCATAAGAAAAGAATAAGTGGAAGATGTAATTCAGAGAGCGTTGAAGCTAGCTACTCGTGAGAAAGGAGATTGCTATTTAAATTCAAGAGGAGGGGATTGGTGAAAGGTCAAAGCTTGACTGGGCATTTGGGATTAGGATTTCTGAGGAGAACATTTTGAGGGCAAAAGAAAATGTATTGTCTGTGTGAAATAGCAACATTTTCTCAATCCCCTGGCAGTTTACAGAGACGGGGATGAGGCTAAAATCTTACTTTTAAGTCAGTTCAGATCAATATAACACGTTTTGGGGTTTGAACATCACTGAGTTTTCAATCTGGTTGTAGAGTAAGGAAGGAAGAGTTCCATTTTAACATCTGTTGGAAATTTATTAATCTTTAGAAAATTAAACAGCTGAAAAGTATCGAGCTCATAAATGCTTGCACACATTCCCTCCTTCTTGTAAGTTTATACTTCAGATGTCACCCCTCTGCAATGTCTTCCCTGACCATCTTGTTTAAGTTGACACATCCATCCCCAAGGGCTTTCTGTTTCAGTACCTTGTGCTAGTTCCGTCAAAGTACTTGCCACTAGTTTGAAAGCTTCATGTGTATTTGTTTCTCTGTCACTAGAATGTAAGCTCCTTATTTATCTCTCTTATTTAACCTGGTGCCTAAAATGATGTCACTCAAAAAATATTTGTGGATCATTGAATGAATTAATGAATCCTTACGTCATTTTTCTGTGAAGTAGGGTCTCTTAATCTCTTAAATTTAAGGATGAGAAAACAAATGTTTTGAAAGTCTGTATTTAGAAAGCCTGTAATCACACAAGTCAGTAGCAGAGCTTCTAACTGAAATCAGAATTATGAACTGGCTGGGTGCAAAGCCTGTGAACGTAACTAATGTAATATGCAGAAACATTTGTTGAGCCATATGCCAAAAATTATAGTAGTTGCCATAATTATTAGCGAAAACTGTTTATACTTCGATGTAGTTTTTCCTGTGCAGTAGAAGAAATATTTCAAATGTATTTCATATGTGCTCTTAATCACTATACTGAGGGATGCAGTCTAAATTGGAAGTCTGTTCTCATGGGGTTTCCAGAGCATCTGTTAAAGGTTACTTAGAAAATGAAAGTAAACCAGTTGGTTCCCTCTGAGACAACTTCAGCCCATAAAGTCTTATTCAAATTTCTAATTTTATCTTTATACTTTCACCATGGTTTATTCTTTTTATAATATGTTCATACACATTATCTCACTTAATGTTCACTGGAAGTAAGCATGATGGGTTTTATTATATCCACTTCAAAAATGAAAAAAACTGAGGTTCAGAAAGTTTAAGTGTCCTACTATGACTGTGGAGTCATCTATTTGTCTTTTCAATTCTGTTAAAGTCTGATTTATGTATTTGGGGCTCTTTCATTGGGTCCATAGATATTTATTATGGTTATATCTTCTTGTTCAATTGATCCTTTGATCATTATATAATGTCCTTCCTTGTCTCTTATGGTGGTTTTTGTCTTAAAATCCATTTTATCAGAAATTAATATTGCCACTTCTGCTCTTTTTGTTGCCATTAGCTTGACATATCTCTTCCCAATCTTTCATTTTTAGTCTATTTTTGTCTTTGTCTCTAAAGTGTGTCTCTTGTAGGCAGCATATTGATGGGTTATGTTTTATTATCCAGTCTGCAGCTCTCCATCTCTTGAGTGGTGCATTTAATCCATTGTCAATCAGTGTAATTATTGACAAGAATGAGTTTGTTACTGTCATGTTGTTATGTGCTTTTTCATGGTGTTCCTGATTTCTTTGTTCCATATAATTTTCTGTCCTGAGCTCATTACGTTTATGAATTGTGTTATCATTTCCTTCACTGCTGTTGTTTTAGCATTTGCTAAATATTTTGCTTGTCCTCTTTTTTATCGTGATGTGAAGCCTTATCATTTTTCTTCGAGGTTACCCTGTGATTTATAATTTTCTCCCGAAGTTTAGAACAGTTCATTCTATCTTGCAAGTCTCTTGACTTCCTTGCCATTTAGAAGTTCTGTAACTACACTATTTTTTTCCCTTTTTGGTTTGTAGTTGTCCTCATTTGTTAATTGATGTCTCTGGTTCCCTGTTACAATCTTATAAGCTTATTTTACTTTGGATACTTCCATAGCTGTGTTGGTTTCTGGGTTATGTTCTCTTGTGTATTAATGGTCAGTAGTTGCTTGCTATTATTGGTTCTCTGTTCAAAGGATTCCCTTTAGTATCTCTTGTAAGGTTGGTCTGGTTTTAACAAATTCTCTTAATTTCTGCTTATCTGGAAATCTCCTAATTTCACCATCATATTTGAGGGACGATTTAGTGGGTATATAATACTTGATTGGAAATTTTTTTCTTTCAGGGTTTTATATACACCGTCTCATTGCCTTCTCACCTGCATGTTTTCTGCTGAGAAATCAGAACTTAGCCTTGTTGGTTGCCCTTTGTAGATAACTTTTCTTTTTTCCTGTACTGTTTCCAGGATTCTTTCTTTGTCTTTGGTTTTTATGGGTTTGATGATGATATGTCATGGTGATTTTCTTTTGGGGTCTATCCTGTTTGGGATTCATTGGTCTTCCTAAATGGATATATTCTGATCTTCCATCATATCAGGGAAGTTCTCTTCCAGAAAATCTTGGACAATTTTTTCAGTGGTTTTCTTTTTTTCTTCCTGTTCTGGAATTCTTATTAGGAATTGAGAACAATGTAGATTATTCCTTTTGAATCTTAATCTTTTTTCATTTTGTTTTAATTTTTTTTCTGATTGATCCCTTTCCAAGAAGTATTCAGGTATTTGTCTTCAATCTCATTAATTCTGTCTTTCATTGATTTGATTCTACCCCTTTGCCCTTTCAATGTGTTATCTATTTCTGATAATTTAGTATTAATCTCTGGATTTCTATCTGTAGATTTTGTGTCATTTCTAATTTTTCATTTATTTTGTCATTTTATTCTTTTATTTTATTCTGAAATTGTTCTAGGGTTTTGTCTGTGTTTTCCTTAATTTTGTCAGTGTTTCCCTTGATCTGTTTCTCAGACCTTTGAAAGTACAAATTCTTTTGAATTCATTATCAGGGAGTTCCAAGGGTGCTTATTCCTCAGGGATGTGTTCTGGAATGTGTTCAGAGCAGGATACCCTACTCCCTTGTTTCTACCTCTTTATCTTGCTTCTTTGTGTGGACTATGATGGTCTGTTGTCTCTGAGACATTGTGAAGTTGTTGTATTTTATATTTAATTGGTGATTGTATGTTGGAGTGATTTGTCCAAGATTTTCATTTTCTTTTTCCTTTTTTTTTGTTGGATGGATCTGAGTAAGCAGGGTACTATGTTCCTCTATTTGCTATTTGGCAGAACTTAAGCACTCACCACCCATCTCCTGATGGTTGTGATAGAGAATGAGAGTGGCTGCACAGATCTCTGTGAACTGTTTGTGAAAAGCAGTTAAGGGTGAGCCCAGCTCTTCTTGATGTTTGTTTATCATTGGCCAATTGATGGAGAAGAAAGTGGTAGCTGTCACTCAGTAAGTGGAGCTGCGGGAGATGTGGGTGTGGTTGCATCGTAGGGGCACAGCTACTGTCTCCCACTCAGTTTGACAAAAACAACAATTGAAAAGCCATTCAAAAAGTAAAATCAAGCAGACATAAAACACACTGCATAAACACA